TAAATCTGCTTTTCCTGAAGCGTTTCCCACAGTAATTCTTCGAGTCACTCCCGAACTTTACTTTCATCTCAGCAACCAGAAAAGCTAGAAAGGCAGGAAACTTCTGAAGCATGTTCGCATCTCGTGCGTGACACTGTCGTTTTAAAATTATCGTTCATCTACGCCTTGTAGCTACGTAGAAAACACATAATTTTTTTTTAGCGGAAAAACAATTTCGAGAACCAGACAAGATAGAAATTTGAAAAAAAAATATTTCACAGGGATGTTCCATGTCTTCGTTACTTTTGACGTAACACAAATCAACACAGTCTGTATCATTTATTGCTACTGCAATCAGATCTTTGCAACCAACCCAAAGTTCATTTGCTCAGACCCTTCAAAGATAACAAACCAAAATTCACAAGCAAAAAAACAAATTTCTTAAATACAAACCGACAGTATGCATAACACAAATTTAACACATACAAAGCGGTATTAACAAATAAACTAATACAGAAACATACATACATACATACATACAACATACACACATACATACATTACAAACATACAAACACATATATCAGCTTGCATAGGTATACAAACAAACCAGGAATGTGACCGATAAATGTTATTCAGGACTGATAACACATACACACGTGCATATCAGAATTTGGATTTAAACGTGCGAAGTAACATTCACGTGATGAGACATTCACATTTTCATGAAAAAACCAGAAACAGCTGTTGTATACACACCCATACACACACGCACACACATACACGCACACACACACACACACACACACAAACCAGAAGATGCAAATTTGTATACTGCTCAGTACATGATTTAGGATCTCTGGGAATTCTAAAATGAAAATTTGAGGAATTTTTTTGGCGATGTTGACGAACTGGAGAGAAACACAACGATCTTTGATCGCACAGCGCACAGATTTCATGAGCGATAACTGAGGATGGGGGCAGTGAAGGGGCGATTCTACAAATGTTGGAAATTTTTTCTAAACAAAAAGCTCCTAAAAAGGAGATAAATCGTCGAAATTCACTTCAGCGAATCACCATCAAGAAAAAATTCGACATTTTCGAACCAAGTTTGGTACAGGACAACTGTTATCCACTGCTTAGCCTCTGGATCTGCTTGTTTTACGAAGCTGGAGTCCAGAAATTTCCCTACAAAATTTACATTTTCCAAAAATTATTTCGGATTTTGTTTCGTTGGAAGCGGTATTTTGCCCTCGATAATTTTATCTATATCTTTGAAGGACATCTGCTGTGATCCGCGCTTTGCTGGTTTTGGCATCAGTGGTCCAGGGCGCCAACCGATAAATGAAACAAGCTGGAAGCTGGCAGGGCAAGGAGCATCATCACGAGCGAACATTGACCTGAAATTAAAGCGTATTGAGATTTTAAAGTAAGGCGAAGCCGCCTTCACGTATGTCTGGATGTCGCTGCTTCAACCCCAGAACCATATGGAGGCTGAAATTTTGTGGGCAACATTGTGAAATTTTGTTTTTGCTCTTTTTTTGAAATTCTTGCATAAATTTCAAATGCATTCGAACGGCGACAACGAAGAACCTCCGCAAAAAGGATTCAAAAAAGGACTGAAAAGTAAAAAAAAAGTAGGAAAATAAGGAGCGTGAGGCCACAAAAATACCCCGGACGAAAAAGAGGCCGGGTTTTTCAGGCATTTCCAGGAAGCACTTTCATAGCTCCAACCTGTATATAGCATCAGCTGCAATCAGAACATCCCTTCTAATATGCAACGAACGATTCCGTACCGCATTTGATTCACCCATGCATTGAAGATCATAGAGGAGCGCAAAAATATGCGGATATGCCACCTTCAAAGCAAAAAATTCATAAGGAGCAAAATATAACTTTTGTTTTTTACGAGGAAATTTGAAAGCTTCTCAGCTCAAGTAGGGTTTTAACCATTCAAGGTAAAACGATAAGGCACCGTCACAGACATTCTTGGTTCCGTTATCCCATTGACTTTTGAGATTTTTCAGACTTTTCGGCACCTTTTGAAAACAGTGGTAAAAATTCAGGTGATGTTGCCCTTGAGAGCTTAAATGTGCGATATGTTAACTGATTTATGATAAAATGAACGTTAGCGAAAAGTAAAGTCTGTCAAATAAAAAACTTCGTTGAATGACCTAATTTTTCCCACAAACAATGAATTTGTTCCTGCCAATAACATATGCAAAAGTTCGTTTTTTTCGCACTTAGAAGAATTACCAATTGCCTAGTCGGGACTTAAACCTAAATAAGAGTTAAAGTCCCGACTAGGCAACCTCAATAACAGTTAGTTCCAGATCGGCTAGCAGGTGGGAAGGATAAATTCAGTTTATAATGATGAAATACGCAGAATGCAGTACAAAAACGCTAAGAAATGGAATAACTAAAAAATTTAAACAAAAAATATTTGCATTTCGGATCCAAAAAAATATCTGAAAAACTGGAAAAAATTTGAAAACCAAAGAAATTTCACACTTTTAGAAATGGGTTCACCAATTCTTTGCAACTTTTCTTCCATTCTTATCAGAGAGACCAACATCTACAAGAGACGAAATGAAATGTAAAAGTGGTACCACGACTTCGTCGGTATCCAGTGTGATCATTCCGAAGCCAGCGCGATGCATCAGCGTTCCGATATCATCGGCTCTAACAAACGGCGAAATGTGCAGACCAATCCCACCCAATCTTTCTGTTTCAGCTAACTGAAGAGCAATTCGAAGCTCATGTACTGTTTCGTTGGCCAACATGGCGCCGATCAATGGGCAATCCGGGCGCAAAATCGATAAACATCTTGAAAACCTGAAAAATGCGTGCAAAATTGGAAAAAGGAAACAAAAAATTGATCAACTTTCAAAAAAATTTCAGAAATGATCAAAAATTTTCAATTTTTTATTAAAATCAACAGAAAGGAAACTGTTACTTCGCAAAATGTGCCGAAAAATAAATGGGTGCAGTCAGTTGATCAAAACGAAAAAAAATCAAAAGCAAACGGCACCATAAGTGTCAAAAATTTTTAGAAGTTGCGAAACTTTTCAAGGGAAGAACTGCTGATGAAAAAAAGTTTAAAAAAAAGACGCTGAGAAGAAAAGGAATGCCGATGGATTGAAAACAGGTGAAAATGCAAACAACACAGGCTTTTATAGCTACTTTTTTTTTTGAAAATAGCAAAGTTTAATAAGCTACAAAAAGGACGGCTCAGGCTTACAAAACAGAAAAAAATAGAGCAATTTCTGACGTGATGCCTCTAATTTCAGTGCCTAGTTCCAATTCAATTTTTTTTTAAGAACGCAATAAAAGTTGCCATTTAGGGAGATCGTTGATCCAATGAGCACTGAGGCTGGAAACGATCAAATCGGCTGATTTTTCACGAAACGGCGCCATGGATTCATCAGCTATCACACGCATCACAGGCACTTCAGGATCAGCTGCACCGGAACTTCGTTGCACCAATTCGGCGCTCATATCGCATTGCAAAATTACACCAACATTTTCCTGAAAAAAAAATATTCGTAACTCTCGTTTTTTACTGTTTTCAGCCCTTTCAATTTCACTTGAAGTTCAATCCAAAATTTCTGACTGCCAAAAAAGTCACAAATACGCCCTGGCAATGGTTGTTTTTGACGCTATAGCCACTTTCATCAGGATTTCATGCACAAAATACCTCAACACTTTTTTTGCGCAAAAATGTGCCGATATAAGACATATTATAAAATAACCTTTATCAAATTCGCAGCAATATGGCCAGCGCCACATCCGATATCAATGCAAACATCATTGAATTTGGTCAAATCGAATACTTTATCGGCAACTCGATAAGCCACTTCATCCTGAAACTGCCCTATTTTAATCCATTTTTCGGTTCAAAATTTCAAAAATACAAGTGAAAAATACAAAGCAACAAAAAACAACAAAAATACCGAGAACTTCTCAGGACAAGCAGTACGGGGATTTGATGTTACTAGGACGTCCTAGCGCGCCGACTGTAGCTACTGCCAGGTTCATCCATAAAAATTTACAAAAAAAATTTACAAAAAAAAACCGGAGAAAAATAACTGAAAATTCAAAAGCGGCCGAATCATAGGCGGATCCGAGACGGATCCCTGGGGGCGGAGAGAAAGAGGAGATGAGTGGGACGGAATTCTGAGGGGAAGGGCGACGGGGAATGGCGTGAGGCGGATCCAGGACGGGCTCCTGGAGCAAAAACCAGGAATGGAGTTGTAACACTGCCACTTAAGAGTTATTTTAGTTTTATTTAGAAAAATACCCGGGCTTTTGCAGCTCTGGTGCCTGTGCCACTAGGAAAAAGGCTGGACCGGCCGGGCGCCGAATGGAATTTTCTCTGCGGAAAATGTAAATTATACCTTGACATACTGGCATAAACTAAAATCATCCAGTTTAGCTGCTCGATTA